GATCCTTTTGTGCACCTCTTTTGGGTCTCTTGTGCCATTATGCTCTCAGCTCACTTTAACAGCGGTAATAACATGGCCCACCAGGGTGTCCAGGCCTTTGGCTCAGACCGGCTCTCGAGGAGAAAGTTCCTCAGTCTGCAGGGAATACGAGAGGAAGATAGAGGAGGACAGGTGGGGGGGTTAAACAGGGAGGAAGTAAGGACGGTAGGGGGTAAGGAGGACTGCTGTGTCTCTGCAGAACAGGGAGGTGGAGGAGACGGGGAAGAGAGGGCTGACAGCAGGAGGAGAGAATGGCGGGGAGGCGTGCGCGGTCGACAGGTGAACATGCGGTAGGCGGATGCGGAGGGATGAGGGAGGCATGCTCCGTGTGGCTGCACAAAGCAGGCAGTGCAGAGCTTCTACCTGGCATCTACATTATGCACATGTAATGTTTCCATACAAGAGCGGCTTTGGCCTCCACTAGGGTATTGTTGTGGATCTACAAGCTGAAAGAGACAAAGAGCATAAGCGTGTCTCTCTCTCTCTCTCTCTCTGTGTGTGCAGAGGACTCGGTGGTCGGCAGTCACGGCTGCTTGCCCGCTCTGTTTTAGCCGCGCCTGTGCTGCGCCACCCGCTCTGTTGGACAGCATGTTCTCTGTCCAAAGAAGAGCAGCCAAGCAGAATGACACCAGCCTCAGCAGCCTGCCAAACACCGCTGTGGATGGCAGGACACACTAAAATATACAGAACACACTTTGGCACACAGAGACAAACACACACACATACACACACACAGAGACACAAACCATAAACACACACACTCAGGAGGATGCACACACCCAAAACATGCACAGACCAACACTGTACGGCACACACACACTTTGCACTTTTAGGCTACAAAATAGAAAAACTGAATGCAAACACACACACACACACACACACACACACACACACACACATAAGCTGGTGTTTTTAATACCCCAGATGTTTTTCTCCGGAACTAAGGCAAAACACAGGGACACACAAACACACATCGATAAAGTCATAGACGAAGAAGGCAATTGACATAATAGATTTCTGAGTCAGAAGGCTGTTGCCATAACCAGCAAGGCACAAAATCGACCCTACTTTCATACAGTTGAACTGCTGAGATGGCAGTTTTGAAGCAACAGTATCGGCCTTGCCACAGAGCGCATTCGCCACACCCACTCACTTTATCACCACCCATGTGTATATTTTCAGGGCTTGACACTTCTTGACACGCCTTCGGGCAAGTAGCTGAGACGTTTATGTGCGAAACAGAAAATGTAGGCCTATTAAAAACGAATTTGGACAAAGAAACTGTGTTATCCTTTTGCTTTATATTGTCATATAAATTGGTTATTTGCATGAAAGCACACAATTCAATTGATAAGAAAATAGATGATTTGATTAAACATATTTTGGGGGCATTAGTATTTTTAATTATGTATCAAAAGCTGCTTAGAGCAAGTGTTCGGAAGTTAAATGTGTCATAATTGCGTCTCTAATATCTATTTTATATTGCTATAACAACAGCTCCTTCAAACTACTGTATGTATTCAAGTTTCTCGTCCAAAACAAATTTTTACAAGATTACATTTCAACACATAAAATGATAATGTGTTAATTTACCTTTGCCCAATATTGATTTTTACAGTTTGGAGCTTGAACGCATCATGATGCAAGTCAATGTAACCTCCAATAATTAGAACTGCGCTAGAGAGAGACCTTCTGCTGTCTGCAGACGAGCCGGTCACTGTGATAGCTTTGGTCAGCATGATGGGAATGAATAACAATATAACAGGCCGTGTCTGATTAAGTTATTTGCTACTTGTTAGCTCTGTTATTTAGCCAAGCAGAGCAGTGCTGCTTGCATTTTAGTCCATGCTGCTGTTTGCATGGACTGTTCAGAAACTCGTCCAAGCTTCAGTCTGCAGAGTGGTCTTCAAAGTTGAACGCAGTGAGTATACCTGTGACACTGAGATACATGCTGGATGGATAAATCCAGTTTGGTGTCATGTAGGGCTGCAACTAACGATTATTTTCAGTATTGATTTTGAAAGAAGCTTATTTATTCTTATCATACCGCATATGTGGCTACAACAAGTTGATTGCATCTATTGGCTTAGAGTTGTTGAAATGAATCGGGTATAAAGCTGACTGACAACCACACACACCACCCTTAGACGTTATTGGAGGAACGGCTGGTGAACGGAGCTGCCTGGAGATATCTGGCAACAAAGTCTGATGTCCTCGTTTTAGTTTGCTGGATTTTAGCAACTGAGCATCTGAGCAGAGTGAGCGAAATTATTAAATATGACGCATACACAGAAGTCATACAAAGTGTGAAATAACAATAACATTTAGAGAAACATTGCAGTGATGCACTCAAGCCGGAGTCTCTTCCCTTCAGTCCTGGGGCTCCAGACGAGCTGACCAGTGGCAGTCTAGTGGCAGTATTGATTGAACCTGCAGTAAAATATGGATGTGATTATTAATTGATGAAGGACTGACTGCGGGTTTACTGACCTTCAGGGCCGTCAGCCTGAAGCATCGCCTTACTTTATTCATTTCAACTTCAATTTCTCGCACGTAAGCATGCTGTGGTTTGCCAAGCGCAACATGACAAAACAAATTACATGCACCAGAGAACAATTACATCAAATACGCACAGATTAGTTATCACCAGTGTTGGTCTTCATTCACTGCTTCTATTTCCATTATGATGTGACAGCGATGAATAATCTGCATTTCTACATTTGCACATTAGCTCCTCTTGTCTTAAAACTGAGGATTGTTCTTTTGGTGGCAGAGAAAATTGTTCCAATTACTATTTTACTTTATACATTTTCTATTTCACCTCTTTTTATCTTCTTCTGTGTGCTACAGTATCTGCATCTCCCGCCTTCTCCTTTTATCCTGCCATCTCTCTCTCTCTCACACACACAAACACACACACACACACATGCATGGTTCCTCTATCAGTATCTAGTCTCAGCGTTGTTTCCCTCTGCTGCTTTCATCTCCATTTAACAGCGTGGCAGATCAGATCCCACCACCTGATTTGAATGTGCTTTGTGAACGGGATTTTTAATGAATATCAACACATTTATGAATATTTTCATACTAAGTAGATGTGTTAAGAATCAGGGTCGTGGTCCCGGCCCCTCGCGGCTACGAACCAGTGGGCGGTGAATGGTAAGCTGAGAGGGTGGCCCGGTGCCCCAGCAGAAAATCAAAGTCATTCCTCTAACAATGCTGCACTATGGCGATCCCTCACAGACCACATGTGTGTGTTCCCATGCCAACTGGCACCAACCACAGCACAGGGGGCAACGGGCAGACCCTCGGAGACCTTGATGGTTTTAATGTAGAATCAACATCCAAATTGATATATGCAACGGCTAGCTGCAGTTTGAATTCACTCCCACGCGTATGCACACACACACACACGCACACACACACACACACACAGGCAGGAAAAACACACCCGCAGCATTCACAAGCAGCCCTTTGCAGTGCGTGCTCGTGTCTTTAAACCCTGCTTCTCCCAGCTGCACCACAAGAGACCTGTCTAAGTGACAACAATTAGCCTGCTCAGTTCAAGCTAATTGAAGTCATTTGCATAATACATGCCTGCCATCACAATTCATCTGTGGACAATTCAAGCAGGTCTGTGTCATATTGTCACAACCTGATGTTAGATTCCCCCCCCCCCCTCCCCACCGGCTTGATAAATGATCCCCAAAGTCAGTTAACACAAAGCATATCATTCACATAGGGACTGTTCTCTGCTATGTTATTCTTCTAATGAAAATAAGGATTGCATTTGCCAACATAGACAGATGCACACAATGTCAAAACTGTGTTTACCGTCCGTCCCGTTATGCATGCAATTACTCAGAGGTTGAAAACAAACAGACGACGAGATCTCGTGCTTTATTAGCCTGTTTTTCGGGAGCTGCTTTTGACAGGAAGCTGGGCAATAAATGAAATAGATGGCTTGATAAAAAGCTTGCTGTGCAGAATTCTTCACGCTGGATTTTTGAAAAATCACGCTGCCACAGCTCATAACAGACGATCTATTCCCTGGGTGATTTATGAAATCAATTTGTCTTGTTATCAACAGCCAGAGTTTGTGAGATAGCATCATTCGGAGCACATGCTTTTCAACTTGCGGGTAGAGGGAGACGGGCGGGTGGGGTGTGGACACATAATTGACACGTTGAAAACAACAAATCAGTCATTCATGTCGTTGCATCATGCTATGAATCATGGGATGATGATGCATTCAGTGTTGATTAAATTTGGCAATGAAATGAAAGGATTTTCCAAATAGTCGTGTTTGAGGCTGTTGGTTTCGCCTGTGTTTTGTGTGGTGTAATGGTATATTCATGTCAGCTGTCACCGGAGAATCTGCACCGATGCACTCGGCAGCCGAACACCATCTCTCTGCTTGTTTCTCTGTGACCCTTTGCTCATGTGGGGAGTGGAAACACTGCAAACTGTCCTTCCATACCGCTCATACAGACCAATATATAGTACATTACTCTGGAAACAGGATTAGAAGCTTGTGTGTGCAAACACTGCTCCTTTTCTTTCGTCTAAGTCAAGCTGAACCCTCCAAATGTCATTCAAGACTGTGCTCCACGCGCCAGGCAGCAAAGCGTGGAGCGCAGTCGGCCCCAGTCAGCCTAATTCTCTTCCGGCTCTCCTCGGAGAAGCTGAGGGAAAGGCTGTTTTAACATAGCTATCCGTCTACTTTGCGAAAAGAATGATATTTTAAAAAGAATTCCGCTTCAGAAACAGAGAAGCAGTTTGTTTCTGCCAAAGACGTCAAAGTTGGGAATCAAAAGTCACAGCGGACGGGATGTTTCAAGGTTGCAAGGTAATCTTAAACGTGCCAGATGTGTCAAGGATTTGCGAAACACCCCGCGGAAAGTAAATCTCACTGTGCTTCTCTCTAATTCTGTTCCCCCCGTTTCTGTCCGTCTCTGCAGTGAAGTTCGAGGATTGCCAGCGCAGCAGAGAGGTGGGATTTGTCAGCAGCGACCCCAACTTCAGCGTGAGGCCCGACGGGGCGGTGTATGCCAAGCAGGAGCTGGCCAACCTGTCGGAGCCCGTCCAGTTCATGGTGACGGCCCGGGGGTTCCATGACGCACACATCTGGGAGACCACCGTGAAGCTAGCCCTGGCCGGACATCCTCATCCTTTAGCCCTGACGAAGGTAACGAGGGAGAACACGTTCAGGAATAGATAGACACAAGGGCACACGGATGGGACTGCTACAATTGTGATTACAATGCCAATTTAATAAGTTTTCACCGAACCCTAACTCACACGGTGTTTATCACTAAAATGCCACTTGTCCTCTTGACCATTGCTGTAAAGCCCTTTTTCCCATCTTTGCCACTTTCCAGAGGTTGAAGGTGTTGAGGTTGTGATGGTATCATGTTATACTGATAAATGGTGAATGGACTGCGTTGTTTTCTCAAAGCGCTTTACAACACAAGCCAGCAGTCACCCATTCATATCCTGTTGGTGAAAACTGCTCATTAGGAGCGACAAATAGTCACAAGCACACTCAGTTTGTGGTTCAGTATCGTGCCCAAGGACACTTTAACATGTAGACTGCTGGGGCCATCTATCGAACCGCTGACCTTCTGATTAATGGATCCCACAAATCGCTCTCTTTCATTAGCAAAAAAAAACAAGTTAACCTTACAAAATAAAACCTTTCCTGTTATCTGGTTAATGTGCTCTCTGCACACACAATCAAAGATAGTCTGCAAGGTAAACATCACTCTGTAACACCACTAAATGACCGAGGATGTGTGAGTTAATGGTTCAGGGAGACAGATTAACTACTCTTCTCTCCGTCCCCGTATCACGTCAATATCAGGTAAATGTTGGACATATCACATCCCTACTTTAACCTTATAAAACTAATAGTTCTGTGTTGGGACCTCTAGTATTCAAGCCGCTTGTGAAAAAGAGGTTGTCGAAGTAAGAAGATATTACAATGTGCCAGATGCTTTTAATTAGTATTTAATACAGTGTAGAAGCTGTGTCTGCCTAATCAGTCAACAAATGGTGGTTACACATCTTTGTTACAGACATTAATAACTTGAGTTACTTGCAAGTGTTGAAAGCTAAACCTAATTATATTTGATACAAATATTCTTAAATGATTTAGATTTGATAAGAGGATTTGAAACTGGATTTAGATACAATGAAATGCTATTAAACCCCAACCCTAGGTTGCTTGTCTGATTAGATATGCTTCATTATTTGGAGAAAGTGTAAAGCAGCTTCCTAATGAAGGATCTGATCAGAACTGTTAACGCCGCCTCTTTTCGGAGTCCTTTTAGTATTTACAGTAGGAACACTACTGGCTCTCTGACCCTGCATGTAGTCACCATGTACACAGTCTTTGTGTTTCCAGCTATACCTCTAAGGCAAGATTTTATAACGGCAATTAGGATGCAGTGCCTCTTTGTATGTGACAAGTAGAGACATGGCCCTATTTGCTGCCAAGGCTCTATTGGCTAGCAGAGACTGTAAAACTACACAGGGCAAAATGTATAGCCACTGTTACTGACTTCCACCACCGGGCTGCACTTTGTTGAGCGACATACCCATTATCATTTTTCCTGCACTACTTGTTGAACGCCATTGAGCTTAATGTTCCGTCATGTTTCTAATCATGACAAAAAGCCAGAGACTCATGTAGCTAAAGCAATTGCAGAGTGGGGATTAAAATTCTGCCCACTCCTGGCAGAGCAATAATGGAGACCGGGAAATAATTGACATTGATTGAGCTAATGTTCCACTCTAGCGGAGTCTGCGAGGACCAGGTGATGTAGTTTTCGGCGTATAATAATGTTCCCCACATCATGGAGCTGGAGAAAGATTCAATAATTGAACAAGAAATAAATGAGTTTTTTCTCTAATCACATGGAAATTTGAAAACCAGCTTTCATGCGTACAGTGCAGCTTGCATTCCTGCGAGAACAATGTTTACATGTGTTTGTGTCACTGTTTTCCTCACATGCAATAAATGGGTGCTACTGCTGCTACAGTAGAATTTAGTTCCAATCTCCCGGTACGCCCCAAGGAGGAATAAAAACTGAATACCTGTTTCATTAGGAGCCTGGTCATTAAAAAATAAATTATTAAAATATAGTATGTGCTACAGGATAATGTGAGACAGGAACATGGGTGAAGGAATGCCTATTAAGATACCAAAAATACACTTTGGTTGGTGGTTAATTTCATTTCCCTGCTGCTTGTAACATGGCGTAGAACTACTCCAATACTACCATTTCTCATGGACCCGCATTATTAAAACTGCATAACGTTCCAGAAATTGAGTGAAACATTGAGTGACAACCTCCACGAGGCTGAAAAATCTCCCTTTTAAACAGTTTGTCCTCACTGACATCTACTATTTATGACTTATAGCAACCATTCCTCCATTTGACAGAGTCAAAGCAGGAAGTCGGCATTTCTCCTGCAGTTTGACTGTTTGTACGATCCAGAGGAAAAACACTGATAGTGAAACAGGAAGACATAAGTACAACATTATTACAGTAAACCACTAAAAACGAATGTATGGCACAGTAGTGTACAGAAGTTTAATATTTATTATGTTTATATAAAGTACGTTTGAAATGAATGGGAACGTACTTCCGTTTGCAGGTAGTTTGTCTTGAATCAAAGTATTGGACAAATTGAGAACTAGTCAGGGCATCACTAAACTGATTACAGTTCATTCTGAGGGGAAAATGAATGTCTGTACAAAAATGTAATTGCAATCCTTCCAATAATTTCAAAAACCCTTTCACTTAATTAAAACCACCAATGTGAACCTGATGGTAACGCTAGAGATGCATTTCAATCTGGACCAAAGTAATGGACCCCACGGCGGGCCAGCATTGCCCTCTCTAGAGCCTAAAAGTACTTTACTCTTTCCAGTCTGAAGAACAAAAAAAAAGTTACATTGACGCTGCTCACTTGCCCTCGTAGCTCATTTCGTGTCTGCTGGTTGCAACATTCTCCCTCAATACTGGACCAATTTCCAAAAGTGTGGTCCCCATTTGTCACTTAGACACAAAGGAAAGGAAAATAGGGTCGAAAATACCAAAGTTAGTTGGGAACTGAAGTGTGGCCAATTTTCCTTTGCTAGTTCGGTAAACACAAACACACACAGAGGTAAGTTGTTATCTGAGCCCATCTCTTTGTTCTATTTATTTTACAAATAATCACCTCACCTACTGTACAGTAACGGCAACCTCCAGTATCTCTGCCTTATCAGCATGGCTATCCTCTTCCTCTCAATGCTGATTAATAGACAGACGGCTCAAATACCAGCTCATTTTGTGTAGAGACAGTTGTTCATCAGTTCTCAGTTGAATTGGCTCAAACGCACAATATGTTGTGTGACTTCTTCCTCTTGCTACGCTCGCTTTGTTGAATAGCACCAGTGAGAGTGCACTGATCTGTTTTTAATAACTGGCTTAGTTTCTCACTCTGCTGTTTTGGCAGCAGAAAAGTGCTCGGTGATCAACCCTCTGATTTTTAGTATCATTTTGTGCACAATACCACAGCAATTGAAGTGCAGTGCATCTTTGACCCGAGAGCCCTTTCCACTGTGTCTATGTACTCAGGCTATCGCAGCTCACACAGGTAGGGCCTCTCGTTGAGTGCTCTCCAGCTCGTACTGATTTCATGGCGCGTTGGTTTGACTTCTCTACCAGCTTAGAGCCCATCAGTTATGCACCGCTGGATGTGGACTCGACCGGTTGCCGGAGCGGGTTTTAGTGCTTATTTGATTTGCATTTTTTACCGCACTCTCCCGAGACAGCCTCACCTGTTCGAGGTAGATTACGGCGAAGGCCGGCAACAGGGTGGAACGTAGGACCCTGGGGTCCACTGGTCGATGAAAAGCAAGATCGGATGGTTGCGCTTTCGCTGTGTGCTTTAACTTTGTGATTATAGCCTGATTATGTTGACGATCCACACTGGAAAGCTGCGCGTCTCAACAGGCAAATAGCAGCTATGAGAGTTTCAATACTTATTTTTTACACAAAGTTAGGTTTAAATGTTATTTTTCTTCACTTTAGTTTCTGAGAAAAGATCTCATGGGAGAACATTCTCCTGACTGAAGACTAGCACTGTGATCTCTTTTTTTTTTATCATCGTGAACTAGCAAAGGGAACTGCAGCACTAAAGACATAAAAGAATAACATCTGAAAACCTGAATCAAATGTTTTCAGAGCCACACCGAACAGAGAATGGGAAAATGAGCACATACTCTTATTGTATTGTTCTGCCTGTTTGTCAGGCTGATAACCTCCAGATGTCAGCTCCAGGGCTCGAAGGCTGCCGGCCTAAAGAATGCCCCAGCAATGTGCGGCCTGCCTGGGAGTTGGGAGCTGCCAGCTGGCCCTGCCTGCCTCTGGGTTGCAGGAGCCCCGGGCGCTTCAGGGACACACTCACAGACTCCTGGTCATGTGCACATGCACTCTCTGGGTCACGCACAGACTGATACACCCGCACATATGCCCGTGCGTTATTTTCACGCATTTGTACATGTGCAGTCATGCCTGCATCAAGGCCTGCACTCATGATTTCCCATATGTGCACAGAGGCATGACTGAACACAATGCACACACTAAATGCATACACAGATATGCAGACAAAAAAAAATCCACAAAACCTAATAAGCACCTAGCTTCCTGGCAGCGCACAAAGAGTTTTTTTCTTTCCTTTGTAATCCTGGTATTGTCACAATGCCAACAGGCTGTCATCTGCCATGCTGTTTGAAAGTGACAGTCACATGCAGCCACTACGCTGATATCATCCACAAGCAGACTTACAATAAAAGGACGTCTCCCTTTCATTGTCTCCCTCTGTGTCTGTCTCTCTGCCTGACCGTCTCCCCTCCTGACTTCTGTTTTGGCATCCTTTCCAAAGGAATGCTGGGACCCCGACCAATCGAATGCTTCAACCCCGTTATCGTCAGACCTGATGGGCCGCCTACGTCAGTGAGCTGATTGGCGTATAGAGCAGCTATTCGTTCATTGTGTTTCTCTGCGGATAAGGACTCTGTCATGATAGCAGCACACTGACAGAGCATAGATGAGGAGGAGCAGTCACGTGGTCTCATATATGTCATAGCTGTCCCTATGCGCTGACATGGAGACAGTCCTGATGATTCACAATTATCTGCGTTGCTTTGCATGATTCGTTTTTTCAACATGATCTTGTTTTTCCTTGTTTGTTTCAAATGAGCATCTGCAAATATACACAGTGCCACAGAAACACACACACGCATTCACAGACAGAGACTAATTCCACCTGCCGTCCATGGAGGCTGGGTTGGCAGCATCCCTGGCTCCCCCGTGCCAGTTGGTACCTGTGAGTGTTTTGGATGAGTGAAGCCGGAACGAGAGTTATCTTATCTGGGAAACACATCTGGTCCCTCCTCATTCCTCTTTCTGTCCTCTAACCATCCGCTTGGTCGCCCCCGCTCCCTCCACGTCCGTGCTCCCGCCCAGCTAAACACCCAGCACCGGCTGTACGGAGGTCCGCGCCGAGCTCCAATCCTATGAGCTGCCAAATGTGTTGAAGAGTTCAAACAAAAGATGAAAAATATACACTGCGTTTGCTCAGGTGCAGCTTACACACATGCAAAGCGGGACAGTCACAGGCAAAGTAGGTGCATATTGATATGATGAACCGGTGGCCTGTGTTTGGTGTGGCAACGAGGCCGCGGTTGCTCGTGTGCACTGCGTTGCCTGTGTGTTGCCTGCGTTGTGTGTATTCCAGGTGGGATGAGCAGGAGGATTTCCACTGTGCTTCAGGTGACAGGGACACAATGGCAGTGAGTATGTGAGAGTGTGTGTGTGTGTGTCTGTGTGTGTGTGTACACACAGGGCCTAGAGACAACAATAGGATTAGGTGGATTACAGCAATACAACCATTTTACACAGGAGGACACCATAGAGGATTGGGTAAAAAACACTCCGTCTTTTAAACACCCTTCTAACCCTCATTTCACGAGGCAAGATGAGCAAGAACACAATCTCCTCTCTGCAGCTGTAGCTGGAGGGAGTCATCGCGGAGGGTTGTATATACACCCATACATTCCTTCAAAGGAGTTACCCATAATACCGCTGTCCTGTATGATGTCAAAGGTACCTCGCCATCAAAAATAAGAAGTAGTTCTCACATCCAAACAAAACTGCTGGGTGGTGTCCTGGTTCTCTCCCCTGCTCCCCTTGTTATTACACTGGTATTTCATCAACACCTGTTTTATCTGACGATAGGCTTCTGTCAAGGCAGAGTGTCACATCAGTCTGTCTTCAGCACGGACAGAGAGGACAGAGACGGGCAGGAATAATGGCGTCTGCTTTTAAAAATCTGTGCAGGAATGCACAGACGGCTGGGTTTTGTCGGTGGACAAAAGCCGTGTAGCCTCGGGGAGGCCTCGCTGTCTTAGCCGAGGGCTTGGGCAGGCTAAGTGTGTCTTGGCAAAGGCCTCATGAGATGTGATGCAGCAGCATTCAGGAAAAAAAAAGATTCATATTTTCTTGTGTCTGTCACTCTGTCACTCCTCCAAAATGGGGTTATTGTCGGCGTGACACCCGGCATTTTAGTTTCAATTTTAGCAGCACTTTATAGATTCATCTTCCAACCTGTCGTGGCAAAATAGCATTCTTCAAACGATAACGATGCGCAAGTTATTCAATGCAAGATGTGGCACAGTGTGACATGTTTGGGTTTTTCTTTTCAGGGTGGCATTGAAGAAATGCTGTCAAGAGCCTGGGACTCCCAACCCAGAGTTATCAAGTTTCCTCGAAAACATCAGAGGGGCTCCTCTGCCAATGGGCTGAGGCGACAGAAGAGAGACTGGGTCATCCCACCTATCAACGTGCCTGAAAACTCCCGAGGACCCTTCCCTCACATGCTTGTCAGAGTGAGTGACATGTTTATATAATTTCAGCAAATACCACACTTGATGTGGAATGTTTTTGGTGCACCGCAGAACTTTTTACATAACTTGTCGTTGCAGAGAAAACCAATGAAAGGTAGACAAGCCATGTATTTTTTTCTAAGCACTTACTCAGGTCAGGCCAGAGAGAAGAGTGGTGAATATGGAGTAATATCTCTTACAATCACCACGAGGCCAAGAGACACACAACATTCTGGTATTTTCTATCAAGCACACCCAGCAGGCTAACAGCGCTGCTCTTGTCTCCGATTTAAGTCATGATGCCAGGTGATTTGTCTGCTGTGCCTCTGGGCGCCACAGACAGGCAGAAGGAAAATAATAATCGTTGCTTGAAAAGCACACAAATATGCACTCCATGCTTGGTTTCAGAAGAATAGATCTGAGGATTACTCAGGAGTATTCTCTCTCCGTGAACTGCTTAATATAGCAGGTGAGCTATTTTTCACATCACAGTGCATCTTTTTTGTAGATTACAGCACATCTAAATTGTTGGGCGATCGTGACATCCATATTGTACCGAGGTTGGGGAACACTTGCACATCCACGTTTGTTAAAGGATTGCTTTAGCATTTTAGCGTTTATTCTGCAACAAAAAAAGCCGTTTAACAGACATGCATTGCTTTACTGCGATAAAGTTGCATACAATGTTTGCACAGGGTTTTCTCTCTGACCAAAACTCAACTTCTTCAAATCTAAATTCTAATATATTAGATTTTAAGATTTTAAGAGATGAGGATATGATGTCATGTTACTGTTGCATTGATATGCGTCAACCACTCGTCCACCAGGAGCCAGATGCATTCAGCTCTGTAGAGTTCTGACTAAAAGAAATATGCATACACACCCTTTTCTGCAGATTTTCAAAGCCACAGGCCTGGATCTCTTTTATGAATTTTACTCAGGTCGTCTATATGGATTTAGTTTATAGCGTTTAAACAGACGTTTACCTCTGAGATATGCAATGAATTATAAAACAAGGGAAAGTACCAAAGCAGAATAAATAAAAAAGAGTAATACAATTGAGAATGCAACAGTCATTAAGTGGAACATGTATAATAAACACTTGACAATGATTAAATAAATTTAATTTGATTTAATTTCAAAAAAATAATTAATTCTTAATGAAACTGACTGACAGCCTAAAATAATATTGCTATATATTGGATTTTATCTCTCGTCTTTTTTTTTCAATTTCCATTCAATGAAAACAAAAAGTTGAACAGAGCATGTATGTAAACAGCTGTTAACTACAACCAGTGGATCACAACCAATACTAGAAATACGGAAAATCTAAAGCAAGCTTCCCATGGAGGCATCATGCTCTCAGCTCTAAACTCCCCTCTCTCGATGCCTCTTATCAGAGACCCAGACAGACATGCAGCATTTTGCTAGCAGTTTTGACAAACACACATACACACACACAGACACACACACATAAATATATATACACAAAATACACACAAAGTCCCTTACGCCCATTTGTACAGCGAGGTTTACACTCCCGGATTACGGAAATCGCCTTTCACCAGTGTGTCGGCAAGAGGGCAGATTTTCCGCCAAGGCATGGAAACACTCACCCTCACACAAGACACACACAGCAGGGCCGCGCAGTGTCAGGGGAGCCACCTAATTGTGCTGCCCTGCTGGAGAAATGGACCCTCTTTTATCCCCTTTTCACATGTCGGGTGTTAGATGGTTGGATTAAACCTCACGGGCTTCCTTTGTGCGTGTGGCCATGTGAGTGTTGAGGTTGACTTGGTGTGTGTGTGTGTGTGTGTGTGTGTGTGTGTGTGTGTGTGTGTGTGTGTGTGTGTTTGTGCGAGGGAACATCTCCCAGCTTGCTTCCAGCTATACAGTTTGTGAACACAATATAGGTGTGTCTCAGCCCTCAGCCGTAGCTGAAAGTAGTGCACCATGGGGTGCGTGACTCATGCTGTCCCCTGCTCTCTCCTCAACACAACTCTCCGTTCTGACAGGCAGCCGAGGAGATGAGCTCTGGGGATTCCGTGCTTTATCTTGCTGGTCTCAGAAGTGGCCAAGCACAACCTTTAAAGCCTACACACTCGGCTCTTTGCGCCATGGAAACTCTTTGAGGTTTTCTTCACCTGTGTCTCTACACTCGAGCCGTCACACAGCCCGGTTCACTAGGTTTAAAAAGACCAATTAACCCTCGGAGTGTAATTACGGCTTTGCAAGCATCAAATGATGCGAATGACGCGCCCAAAGAGGTGTGTGGTGGAGCGGTGGTGGTTATTCCCTTTGATTCAGTGGGAGCACAATGAGAGGCTAATGTAGCTCTGCTGCTGTAGGATATTTCATTAATCCGAGGCAAATCCAATTCCATGTACAAAAGAAAGTACTTGCTGATTTAATTATAAAAAATAATTCATACCATCATAAAGCTGTCATCTATTCCTTCATTGTCATTATGTAATATTTATGGTGCTATTGGGGTTATATTGCACTGCCTGCTGACGTTACCACCATCATCATCATCACAGCTCTTATTGCTCAGATGGCAATATTCTGTTTATGCTTCTGAAAGCTACATTCACTTCCACGAAACAAAGAAAAAACACCCTCTCTCTCACGCACACACACACACACACAACAGCGTAAAAGAGCGCCATTCCACTGCTGGCCATTTTCTCTTTGACGTGCAATTCGGTCATGACGAACCACAAGTGGTGCAGCTTTGATGCCATTGATTTACCATTGTGCTCAAATGGAATATGCTTCCGAGCTTTCGCTGTCAAATTATTTGACATGACAGATGTAAGTGCAGCGGAAATGGAGAGATTGAAAAACAGCCCGAGTTAAATGGATACTGAGGTGGATGGCGAGAACTACTCCTTTTGAAAAGCAGTAAGGGTGGGAGATATAAAAGGGGGACAGGCTGCTATTGGGAAAGAAAAGAAAAGATAGAAAGTCTTTTGGGGAGTGCTGTAAATCTGCAGGGTGAGGGAGGCCAACATTAGTTTCAGACCATTTGTGGCATTCTCATCTCAACCGTCTCCTGCAGCACCTACACCGGGGCCAATGAGGCAAAACTGATGGAAAGCAGTCTGAATATGGGAGAGAGAAGACCCTCCTTTCACTGAACCAGGCCTCAAACACTGGCTTCCTCTCTGACCCACGGTTTGGACAAGGAAACAAACACCATGAGCTGGAAATAATTGAGCACATTTCGGACAGTCATTTAATAATTATGTTATTCCACATGCCAAGGGAAAGAGCAGACAAAAGTTTGTGTTTGCCGTTTCTATTCCTCTCTGCATGACTCCATGTCCTTTCCATGGAGCTAAATGAACCTGTAATTATATTTGTAATATACAGTCCTTATCGTGCATTCACATTCTTGTAGAAGAATGCAGGTCTTAAGGTGAATAGGTGAACCGGCCTATTAAAATGCATCTCAGCATGATTTGGTTCACCTCATTATTTTGAATAGCCCATTACGGTAGTGCTCATGGGTAATATAATACGGCACAGTGTAGTGTTGAATGTGTCACAGCCAGAATGACTGGGGGCTCCTCATTTAGAGGGATTTCATCAAAAGCAAACAGAAGCACACAAACAAAAACAAATGTTCACTCACCACTCAAGTTAACTTTCCACACTTTTGCAGAAGAAAACTTTAGGAACAGGTTATTTTATTTTTTTTTATTATGTAGATATGTGTGTGTAGGAGCAAGTAAGCTCAGTGATATTGGAATGTCAGTACTGCTGTTTGCTCAGTATACCCAAAATGAAAACACGGTGGGTTATTTACAACCTCATATTGCAGAGTGTATTTCATTACAGCTCGTAATGAGCTCGTAATATGCTTTTTGGATACGCTTGTTTCGTCTGCAGTTTTATTGCATCTCGTGTTGCATTGGCAGATATTGTTTCCACTGTGTCTAGTTTGTGTATGTGGGTGAGCGTGTACACGTGCGTGTTTCCACCAACATATAGGTAAATTAGGTAGTATGATGTACACCATTAGATTACATCATTCAGGACCAAATGTATCTAAATTTAACACTTAATGGAATTATTCACCTGGAAAAAGAAATGTTTTCAAATCAATCACTTTACTAAATCCACCAGCACAGTTTTCGAATGGAAAGCACATTCCTTCACTTCTGAAAGAGGCAGCGAGGGACAGTGAAGGACAAACAACAGCAAGATAAACCTCCACTCATTCAGCATACCAAGCACATGTAGTTTCAGCAAAGTATTGCATAACAAATGACTTCCTCTAAATCGTCTCGTGTCTTATACCACCTGATTGATCGGCAGGGAGTCGTAACTCATTCATTGGCCCAAAGGCTTTAAGTAAATGTTTTCTAACTTAAATAATACATTCAAACGTAGCACCATATGACTGGTAGCACTCTCTGAAAGGAAAGTACTACTAAGAGTAGTCAGCTCACCCCAGGTTACACATTACTTTATCTTCAAGGGGAAAGTCTGGAACATGGCAACTTTTTGACATTACCCCTCATCCTACCAACATATATAACATGTATATGACGACCAAATACGCTACTGTAAGAATCAATCATCATACTGTTGTACAATGTTAACTGATTTCTTTACAAAACATTATAAGTTATGTTAATTTATCTGCTCAAAAACTGATTTTTATTATATTGGGAAAGTTACAGTTAAGTAGCATGTTATGTATACCAAAATAGTCAGAGCTCAAGAGGAAATCTGTGTTTCCTTCAAAATGGCTGACAGAGCGCTCCTACCCCCCCTGATAGTGTGTGATACTTTACATTAGAACCCACGGCAGACATTTGATCTATCTACTCTATTTAATCTATTAAAACTGCACAGGTTGCCAGCAGGTGCTTTTGACTGGGGTCCCCCGGGACTCCAATACATTTGTATTTTTAAAAAGTACTAATTAGAATAGAAACAGAAAACAATGATGTGAAGTCATATTTAAAAAACGATTGGCAAAGTCATGAAGA